CGGCGGGGGAGAGACTGGACACTGGCCAGGGAGCTCCAAGCTGGGGCGGGAGGAGGAGGGCAGAGCGGGCGCAGGGCAGCCCCTCACACACGCGCCCTCCCAGGGCAGTTGGCCATGTGTTGACCAAAAGAAAACATAAAGGAAACTCCCCCAGAGAGGGACAAAGAATTCGGGAAAGTGACAGAGATGGCCTGCGGTCAGACAGCTTGTCACACACACGTGTATACACACACACACACACACACACACACACACACACGCCTGTCCATGGGCGCTGCACACAAGAGCCAGGGCAGACTTCAGGAGCGCCTTAGAGACAGGGAGAGTACAGGCGGGAAGGAGGGGAGGCGGGCTCACACACACACACACACACACACACACACACACACACACACACACACGCCAGCAGAGGCAGCTGCTGCATGAGTGTTCCAGGAAGAGCTGTTGGGGGAAGAAGACAACCCGGCCCACGGCAGTGACCCCACACCTGCAGGCTGGAGGGCAGAGCCACAGGCCTGGAGGGCAGGGCCCCGCGCCACGCAGGCACTGGCACAGCCTTGGGAGGCCCAGGCAAGGGCTGGGGACCGGAACGGGAGGTGGAGGGACAGCCAAGCCTGCGGGAAAGAGAAGACAGGGCACACACACACACACAGAGACAGGGGGGCGTGCACACACACACACACACACACAGACACGGAGGCACACACACACGCACACACACACACACACACACAGAGACACGGGGGTGCGCGCGCATGCACACACACACACACACACGTGCACAGCACAATCACATCCTAACGGAAGCTAATTAATGCCTGAGCGCGGCCCCTTAGAAACCCAGAGGCTGAAACAGAAAGAAACAAAGAAACAGACAAAAAGGAACAAAAGGAAAGAGAAAGAGACAGGAAGACAGAGGGGACGAGAGAGCAGCGCCCAGCCACCCAGGCCTCCTCTTAGGAACGGGATTCGGATTGAACGAAGGGACCCGCAGAGAATGAAAGAAAGAGGACAGTGTCCTAGTGACGTGAGGGACCCTCGGCACAGCCCTGCTGGATTCAGACCACAGTAAGGGACCCTGTGCCACAGACACCGGCTGCACATACTGTGCTCCAGTGCACACCAGTCACACACACCCCGGGCAGGCGCACGGCGGCCACAGAACATCACACAGTGCAACACAAACACACACACACACACACACACACACACACACACGCGCGCCTGGACCACAGGAGAGGAGTGGGGGAGCTCAAGGTGCAGGAAGGAGAACGGGGGTCCAGACCCAAGAAATCACACACACGTGCACACTCACAAAGAGAAGCAGGATGCCCAGGGCAAAGCCAGGTGAAGCCCCAGCGTGGAGGGGGACAGGTGGGAGACCCACAGGAAGGGCAGGAGCTGCGGGCCTCCCTCCTCTCTTGGAGACTGTGTCTGTCTGTCCTTTCTCTCTCACACTCTGTGGCCCTTGCCCGGGCTTTTCTGCTGCCTGGGGGGCTCCCAGCTGCTGCCCTCCTCCCCTCCTTTCTCCCACCCATCCTTTGGCCTTTGCTTGCTGAGGGGGCCCTGCCTGCCCCTCTGGACAGGCTCAGAACCGGCTCCACTCTCCTGAGGTCTCAGGCCTTTCTGCCTGTCCCTCCCACCTGTCCTTCAGGCCTTGCGGAAGGCTGGACCTGGCTGGTTTCCTCACCCCTAACCCCTAACCCCAGCCAGGGGGGCCTTCAGCAGGGGCTCTGTGGAGCTTGCCAAGGGAAGGACGCAGAGCCAGCGAGGGAACAAGCCCATGAAGGCTCTGCGCCTGAGTGAGAGGGAGCAGGAGCCTCGGGACTGAGCTGGAGAGAACGAGCTGAGGACCAAGGAGCGAGCAGAGGGCAGGGGAGGGAAGAATCCAGATAAGGCACGAGGTGTGGAGGGCCTGCAAGTGGGGCCTGGTGCCCACACACACCCCTGCAGAGGCTGCCCTCAAAGGGGGAGAGAACAGGGGGTGGGAGGAGGGCTGCCCCTCTGCCTCGCTGCCACACACAGGGACACGGGTGCACGCACACAGGCTGCGCAGCAGGCAGGAACACCACGGAGTGACAGGAAAGCAAGCCCTGGCGATGGCAGGGACTCCACACAGCTGCAGCAGCGGGTGGGGCAATGGGACAACACTCTGGAGACACTTCAGGCCTAGGGGGCAGGAGGCCCAGGGACTGGCCGAACCCCCCACAGACACCAAGTCCACCCTGTGCTTTGAGGGAATCAAAACCAAAGAAAGGGACAGAGCGGCTAGCGGCTAGCGACTAGAGTGGAGAGATGGACAGAGAGACAGAGACCGAGGGAGGGGACAGGCACTCACACACACCGTCTGGCTTTGATGCACGTCCCAAGCCCAGCATAGGGCAGAGACAGTTCATGGGGGGACGGGGACCCACAGTCGATCCACAGTCGACCGGGCCCAGCCAAAGAGGCACCAGCAAATCTCCAGCCCACGGGAGCTTTAGGGACTGTAAAGTGTTTAATTTTCTCTTACAATAAAATAAAGATGAACTTTGGCTCAAAGGAAAAACAGATTTAAAAAAAAAAATAGTGCTGGGGATGAAACCCAGCCCTCGCACAGGCGGGCCAGGCAAGCTCTGCCCCCCAGCTCCACCCAAGCCCTTAGAAAATGTCTCAATACATAATAGTGACACGGCCCCCTTTTTATCAATGTTGTCATAAAATACAATTTTGCAAAAGTCAGAACAGGGCTCTGTCTGGGTGCCAGCCTGGGCCGAGGTTAGGACAGATGCCATCACAGGGAACACTGGAGACCAGGGGACACGGAAAGGGACCAGGCTGAAAAAACGAGAGACGTCTGGGAGCAGGAGCCCGGCGCAGGGCAGCAGGCAGGAGCAGGGAGCGCTGGGCAGCTGCAGGAGCCTCAAGTGCCTGGGGCGGGGGACAAAGAACCCAGCAGGCAGCGGGGGAAGGGGGGGAGTGAAGGGCCACAGCAGAGCCCCAGCCCCCAAGGCCTGCGCCCAGCACCAGAGGGGAACAGCGCTGCCTCTGCAGAGGGCACAGGAGTTTAGGGACTCCGGTGGGCTGCAGGCGGGACGCCTGGGGGTGCTGCAGGGAAATCCTCCTGGAGGCAGCCCTGAGGCGGAGGCTGCATTGAGACGAGGCTGCAGGGAGCATGGGCCATGGGAAGCAGAACACCCCAGGACCCCCAGGGATGGGGGAAAGCAGGTGGGCGCCTGCACACACACACGTGTAAGCCGCAGGAGAGGGGAGGGAGAGACAGGGAGACAGACCCTCTGGCTCAGGAATTCAGCCACATCAGCGTGCGCACACACACCCACCCCAACCGGGACAATCAGGGAAAGAAATGGACATTCAAAAAGACCATTGCAAGAGGAAGGCAGAGGCTGACACACACGTGGACACTGGTCCAGGATCCAGGAGACATGCTCGTGGGGCAGAGTCCCAGCTCTGGGGGTGAAAACCCAGGAGAGGAGAGGGTTGGGGACAGCAGGAACCAGGATGCACCCACCGTGGTCAGAGAGCTCAGCCTGCTCCAACTCCAGGCTCCGCCAGGTCCCTGATCTCTTTCCCTCCTGTCCCCACCCTTCCTGTCCCAGCCAGCCTCTGTCCAAGCCTTCTTCTCCCTGCAAACCACAGCTTTCTGGAACCCATGAGAGAAAAACAGGAAAGGAAGGCAGAGGAGAGAAAATGCAGGCCGTGGGAGCGTGCGTGTGTGCCTGAGTGTGCACAGGCAGATGCACCCCGTGCAAGGTCTGGTCAAGAGAATTTCGTAAGGAGGGGGGGCAGGGAGGGAGGAGAAAGCCCGGGGCAGCCACCAGGAGAAGCTCAGACGGGAGACCAGAGAGGCCCGCGCTGGGGCCCAGGAGAGCGCCCACCACCCTCCAGGCAGGAGGGCGCGTCAGCCATCGTGGTTGGACGGTGAGTCTTTCCTCCTCTGACAAAAGGGACACAGATTATTTTTGTCATGGAGGAAAATATATTTTATTTTTCTCAAAAGAACTGCATGCAGAATAATAGCGAAAACTCACTGAAGGCAGAAGGGGAGCGGGGAGCACAGGTCCAGGTCCTCAAGTGGTGGGAAACGGGACAGGGCTGAAGGAAGAGCCGAGGGGCCAGAGGCGGTGGCCCTGGTGGCCACAGCAGGGTGGACATCGCTTGCCTTCCCCTCTCTGTGCCTTGTCGGTGATGCCCGAGCACATGGGTCACACCTTCTGACTTCACAGAGGACACACATCATAGACCCCTACCCATGCCCCACCCCTGCCCCCGCAAGCCCATGGGGTCTCCAGGGGTCCATTCTGACCTGGACCCAATGGCATTTGTTCGTGAAATTAACCCTGAACTGAGCAGTATCCAGTGTTCACCAGCTCTGGGGGTGAAAACCCAGGAGAGGAGAGGGTTGGGGACAGCAGGAACCAGGATGCACCCACCGTGGTCAGAGAGCTCAGCCTGCTCCAACTCTGGGGCCACAGGAGACTCGCCCACACAGGCGACGTCTGATGTAAGACGAGGGTCCTTCCACGGGCGGTGGCAGATCACCTCCGCGGGATGGACTTTGGGGGTCTTCGAACTTCCTTCAGGGCCAGTGCTCGGGTCCGTCACAGACCACCCCCACCCGGCACCCCCAGGGACACAGGAACTGGGCACAGCCTCATCTCAGGATCGCCACCTACACAGCAGCACCCACTCCACTCAGGCCTGGCAGCCCCCCTGGCCCCACCCAGTCCCCAGAGTCTGCTGCCACCACCGCCAGGCATCCAAGTCCAGAACCTCCCAGTCTTTGGGGTCCTGGGCTTGGCCTGGCGCTCCTCCCAGTGTGACTCCCCAACACAGGTGCAGACTGCACACACAGCCCCCGCGGCCATCCCCATCGGATCCTGTCCCTGTGGCCTACTGCCCTCCAGCCACCAGCATTACTGGGACAAAGGCCCCTCTGACTGCAGCTGCCCCCACCCACTCTCCACACACAGTAGATGTTCAATAAACCCGCAGCCACGTTCTGAGGTCTCTTTGTGTTTAATCAGACAATATGCAAAGTATTTACAACCAATTCTAGGTCCCCCCGCCCCCCCAAGCCTGGGCCATGGAATGTGGGACCCCCAGGCCCTGCCCAGAGCCAGGGGTCCCCGAGGCCTCTGCATAGTCATCTGAAATCTACAAAACACTGTTTAAAAAAAATAGGACAGTATGAAGACGCCTTACACCCAGGGCCTTGGGCAGCTGGAGGAGTGATGGGGAGCGCAGGGGTGGGCGGGCCCAGGTTCGACTGGGATGGACAGGAAGAGACCTGGGAGATGGACATGTGTAGAAGGAAAAGTCGGAATTTCCTAGGCAGGTGCCTCCTTCCCCCCTGCCAGGGCCTGGCTGGCTCAAGAGCCCCTGGCAGCAGGGACGTTATTGCTGTGATGGGGACAGTGGGTGGAATGGACCACGTGTCAGGGGACAGAGAGGGGGCATTTTTTACATGTTAAATATGGACACACATGGAGACACACACACGTGCACACACACATACTCAGGGGCCCTTGGCAAGATGCCACAAATCGTCAGCTGCCCACTTTACAGATGGGCACACTGAGGCTGGAAGAGAAGCCACCACATACCCTGAACAGCAGAGCCAGGGCCCCAAGTCTCCCGACGGGCTCACCACAGGTGCCCTGCCACAGGGGTGGACAGGGCTGAGCAGCCGCAGAGACCGCGGCCACATGAGGGGCAGACGCCACAGCTCAGAGAAGCAGCAGATGCCCGAGGTCACACAGCCCCTCCGGGCCCGCCCTCTCCGACCCTGGCCAAGGCACTCCTCGCCCTACTCGAGAGTTCAGGGTGCCAGCTTGGGAGGAGAGCGGGTACCACGTTGAAATGTTCAGGACAAACTGGGAAGGAGGCCCGGGGTTCCCTGCGGAGGCCCGCCCAGAGCCTCAGCCTTAGCTCTCCCTTGCCTCTGGAACCCGGGAGCAATGCCCTGTCATGGCTGGTGGCTCCAGGCACCAGACCACCCGGGGACTGACGGAAGCCCCCACACCCTCCCCTGTGGCCGCTCCTTCCCTCCCGGCTCAGCCTGGCCTCCACCTCCGCCTCCACCTCCGTTCTCCCCACCCCCAGACAGGCCTTTGCCCTCTCTAACCCGTCCTGGCCCCTTGTCCCCTGGGCTGCTCTAGTCTGTCCCTAGTGCCTCTGAGGACAAGTCTCGTTCCCAAGGAAGACAGGGGAGCACCAGGTGCCATCCCTCAAGTGCTCTGGCATCTGGGCAAGTCACATCCTCTCGGACTCTGCTTTCCCAAGGTAAGACGGGAGAAGGGGACGGAAGATCTCCAAGGGCCCTGGGGTGGACGGGGCAGGGCTGGGTCACGCTGGGCTGGAGCAGGGGGCCCTGGGCCAGCAACCTCCACCCGCGTTTCAGAAAGAGATGGCGAGGGGCGGGCGGCGGGAGGCTGAGGGCCACCGCTCCTCTTTGGAAAGGCTCTTTGGCCAGCTGTGGGGATGGGCCGGGGCCTCAGGGGAGGGACAGAACCAGGCGAGCGGCAGGTTGAGGCTGGGAAGACGGCGCCCAGCCCCAGCCCTTCTCCCCGGCGTCTCCTCCAGGGATGGGCAGAGGAGGGACAGTGGAGAGGAGGCGGTGGCCAGGGCAGGCCCTGGGACAGTCACTGTGCCGGCTCTGGGCCCGTCCTCACGGGTGCACCACGTCCCAAAGCCCTTCTGTGGCCCCAGAGCCAGAGCAGCCTTGACCCTGGCCGTCAGCCCCGCAGGAGAGCAGCAGCGGGCGGCAGAGGAGGCCAGGCCCCGCACGCACGGGCCGCTGCCCAGGGCTGGAGCCGAGAACAGTCCGGCCCGCCTGCTCCTATAGGTTCTCCCCGGGCTGGTACTGGGGCTCCGTGGACGTGAAGTAGTCCTCCAGGAAGGCCTGCAGGTACTCAAAGGTGGGCCTCTCCTCGGGCTCCTTCCGCCAGCACTGGCACATGAGGTCGTGCAGGGACTCGGGACACTCGGGCGGGCAGGGCATCCGGTAGCCCCGCTCGACTTGATCCAGCACCTCGCGATTCACCATCCCTGGGGGCAGAGGGGGCATGAGGAGCCCGGCTCCAGGCAGGAAGTGGGGCGGGAGAAGATGATGGGGACAGGAGAGCTCCGCCTAGGGCAGGCGGGGACGAGAGGCCCTGTCCCCAAGGCGGAGCCCAGGCCCTGGAGAACCTAAGGCCAGCTGCTCACTTTTTGTTACACACTGGGCAAGCCGCTGGGAGGGAGTGGGGCTGCCCCAGGCCACCAGGGTCCAGGGATTCGGGGACGCTTCTCACCAGGGTAGGGCACTCGTCCCTTTGTCGTGAGCTCCGTCAGCAAGATTCCAAAGGACCACACATCTGACTTGATGGTGAACCGGCCGTAGAGGGCGGCTTCTGGAGCCGTCCACTTGATGGGGAATTTGGCCCCTGCAGGCGGGAGAAGGTCAGGGAGCTGCCCGAGCACCCTGCCCCCGAGGCCCCCAGATGAGGAGACCGAGGCTCAGAGGCGGAGCGCAGCCTGCTCACCTTGCCGGGCCGTGTACTCGTTGTCCTCGATGAGCCGGGCCAGCCCGAAGTCGGCCACCTTGCACACCAGGTTCTCCCCGACCAGGATGTTAGCGGCGCGGAGGTCCCGGTGCACGTAGTTCATCCGCTCCACGTATGCCATGCCCGAGGCGATCTGCAGGCAGAGCCGAGCTGGCTCAGCAGCCACCTCAGCCCTCCCAGGGTCCCAGGACACGTCCAGGACGCAGCCATCCCAGGGAGGAGCCCCTCCCTGCCCTCCCCACAAAGGCTGCAGGAATCGCTGCTGCCGTAAAAGGCAGGACCCAGCTAGCAGGGGGAGGGGCTCCAGGCAAAGGGGCCACATGACAGAGGCAGCTGGGCAGTGGGGTGACCAGGAACACAGACGCAGGCCAGCTCCTGCCTGCTCTCCAAGGTGCCTCTCTGAGCTTCAGTCTCAAGCGGGAACAACAGCTAATCTCATTCTCCTGACTCTGATCAGGAGCAAATGAAAAAGTGGCTGTGGGCTCCACCCACAGCAAGCAGTAATGCATGTTTGTTGAGTGACTAAATGACCGTAACAGAGAAGGAAACTGAGGTCTCATGGTCAGTCAGTGGTTCCTGATGCCCAGGTAAGGTTCTCTGTCCAGAACCACCACTCGCTGCACCTGTGGGTGGTTCCAGCAACGTGGGGAGAGGAGAGTGTGCAGCACTCCAGGCAGGCCTCCCAGAGGGGGCGCTCAGGAGGCTGGAGTGGCCCTGGCAGGTCTGGGAGCTGGAAGGTAGGGCCCCGGCTGTGGGAGGCGGGATCGGCCAACTCACCTGAGCGGCCATGTCCACCAGCTGTGGCAGGCGCAGGTACTTGCCCGTCTCCCCCTTGAGGAAGTCCAGCAAACTCCCTGAACAGAGAAACAAGCTGTAGCCCTGCGCTCCCACCCTGCACCAAGAAGCTGCGATTCCCAGGCCCTGTCCCGGGCTGCTGGCCTTGCTGTGACCAGCACAGCAGGTGCTGCATGGCCCTGTTTCTGGGTAAGTGTCACTCACGCCTGTCACTCAGAAAGCAAGCAGGACAGGCAGGGAGGCCCCGCCCACTATAGGTGGGGAGACTGCAGTCACACACACAGTGGGACCTGCCTGGTGATAGGAAAGGGTGCACAGTAGGGCGACTCTGCGAGGTCAAGGGGACTCATGTGAAGTTCCCCAATCCACACAAGCCCACCACGACAGAAAGCAGACAGTGGTCACCTGGACTTAGGGCCCGAGGGCATCATCTGCCAAAGGGGAATGGGAACTTCGGGGCGATGGAGACGCTCAGGCTGTGGAAAGGGGCGTAGAGAATCCCTGTGAAACTGCACTGGCCTGTAATCCCAGCTACTCAGGAGGCTGAGGCAGGAGGATCGCAAGCTCGAGGCCAGCCTCAGCAACGTAGTGAGATCCTGTCTCAAAATAGCATTTTTCAAAGAAAGGGGGGCTGAGGATGTGGTTCAGCGGCAGAGTGTCTGCATGGGCGAGGCCTGGTTTCAACCCCAGGACCAACAACAGCAGCAAAGTGGCCGAGTTCAAGCCAGGGACTTGCCTGGGCCTGGGTCAGCTGGGGGCCAGGAGCTCTTTTAGCCCAAGGACAGCAAACAGCTTTGGAACACCCGCGAGCGACGCGTGGAGCTAAATCACCCAAACAAACCGAGACGGGAGAGGGCCAACTGGGGACCTTCCCTGACAGGGGGACTGGGGTCTGCGCCTTCACCTGTGCAGAGGCCCCTAAGTGGGGGCGGCCCCCCTCGGCCGCCGCGGCTCACCCTTGCTCATGTACTCCGTGACGATGTAGATGGGCTCCTCCGACACCACGGCGTACAGCTGCACCAGCTTCTCGTGCCGCAGCTTCTTCATGACCTGGGCCTCCTGCAGGAAGGCCTCTGGGGACATGGTGCCCGGCTTCAGGGTCTTGATGGCCACCCTGGTGGTGCCGTTCCAGGTTCCTGTGGGGGAGGGACACGGGCTGCCTCAGCGGAGGCCCCAGTCAGGTGGCATGGGAACGGGATCTGCCTGCCGGGCGCCTCCCCGCTGTGTGGCAGGCCAGCGCCTTCCGAGCCTCGGTGTTCCCACGTATGAAATGGGCACGAGGACAGAGAGCGCTCCGCAGGGCCAGTACGAGGAAGAAAGGACTCTGGCACCGGTTCAAGTAAGAGCAGCTGTCGCCGGGGATCTGGCCACCCCGCTGCTCGGCAGGCCACCGCCTGCTGAGGGCTGTGGGGGCTGTGCTCCAGGGCTCCAGTGGGGTTCTTGCCCCGTGGGGCTTGAGGCTACTTGATAAGTGGCTTTGGCCCATTCTGTCACCAGGCTGGGTCCCAGTCGGCCGAGTCTGTGGCCCTCCTGCACAGGCCACCTGCGAGCAGCTCACAGCACTTCCTGCGTCTACCTGGCGCACCAGGGAGGGGGGGAGCCTCCACAGACACCACATGGCAGGCTGGGACAGTTTCCCTGTCACCGTGGATGCTGGGGGACCCAGGGCTTCCTCAGCTGCTCCTCGTGGGTCTGAGCCTGGGAGCAGCTTCCCTTCGCGCTCCTGCAGCTCACGGCCTCCCCTCCCCAGACCTGGCCTCCAGCCTCCAGGCCTCTGAATGGGGCCTCTGTTGCCTCCAGCCACCCTCAGAAGAGAGGAGAGCAGAGAGGGACCAAGTGATGTCCTGTCAGCCTGATGAGACCACCTGACAGGGGCCTGAAGCCACAGGCCAGGAGACCTGGCCCAGCCCCCGCTCTGCGCTCCTGGGTGCAGACGCTGGTGGGCAGGAGAGGGGCCTGGTCCCCTCGGGCTGCGTGGGGCTCATCTCAAGGACGATCTTGCCGCATCTCCAGGTTAGACACCAGGTTAGACAGGAAATTGCCAACAGCCCAGAACATGCCAAGCCCTTGGCTTCCCGGCCCTCCCGTGGCCAGCGGGACTTTCTCTTCGCATGGCTGAGAGCTAACGCGCGGCCAGGCCAGGGCCGGAGTTCCCACACAGCCCCTGCGATGGGCCCAGACACACTGAGGCTCACAGTGAGACCACCCAGCCCAGGCACAAGGGGGTCTCTGGGAAGACCAGCGTCCAGCCCTGAGCAGCTCTTGGTAGACAGGCGCCGGGTCTTTAGAGGGAGGGCCGCAGGGAGTCTGCCCTGTCCGGCTCATATGGAGCCCAGCACTCAGGGCTGCACCCCAGCTGGGTGATGTCCACCACTGGCAGAGCTCCACGGGGTTCAGAGGCCACTGAAGAAAAGGGCACCCAGGCAGCCACACAGAATGGACACCTGCCTGGTCCCGGGGCGACCTCCACCGGGGGCCTTGCTCTCACGCACGCAGCTTTCCTTACCCATCCACACCTCCCCGAAGCAGCCCTGGCCCAGCTTGACCTCCAGCCGCAGCGACTCCCGGGGGATCTCCCAGGCGTCCTTGGCCAGGCCCTGGGTCTGCGGCTTGGACGTGGGGCACACGGTGGTGAGGCGGTGGCACAGGCCGTCTGCATGTTCTGAAGACAGAGAGAGTGGAGCTCAGGTGTCTCCCTGGGGCCTCCGGGTCCCCAGTGTATGTGGCCTTACTTATCACACGCACAGAGGGCAGGGGACATGCAGAGTGCCCTTGGAGAGAGGACCCAGCCTGCGCGGCCACGCGCCCTACACCTGCTCGCGGGCACTCCTTCACCCACCCACCAGAGGTGAGGGTGCCAGGGACCCAGAGGGGAGGAGTGTGGGGAACCTGCTGCAGCTCAAGGCCTAGAGGGACCAGGGCCCTTGGTCTCCACCCAGAACCACCAAGGGGACGGGAGCGCTGTGCTGTGGGCAAGGAGGCAGGTGAGCTGTGCACAGACCCCAGGGGAGGTGGCTATGGGCGGGTCCGCAGCAGGACCAGGTGGGCATCCCCCAGAGGGCTGGAGCAGCCACTCAGAGCCCACAGCTGCAGGTGGAGGCCGGGCGACCTGCGCACCTGCTGTCACTATTCTAAGACCACAGGGTAGTGCCCCAGGGGCTGACCTAGAGAACAACGTCCCCTACAGCGGAATGTGGGAGGCCCAGGTGAGAGAGGAGGAGGCTCAAGTGGGCAGCGGATCGCCCCACACAGGGTCACCCAACACACAGTCCCCGTCATCCAGATGGGTGGCCATGGGACACCCTGACTCCTGCTCCCTCTACACTCTCCCCTCCCTCCTGCTGCCATCAATGTGGCAGCCCCCTCTCCCTCCCCCAGTAACCGGTTCAGACCGGTCCTGGAGCTGCAGAGCGCAGTTCTACACCAGCCTCACTCAGGCAGCCCCCTCCTCACTGGGGGGGAGGGGGAGGGGAGGGGAGGGGCGCACTGGAGTAGTAGGCCACCAGCTGCTGCAGGCTGTTGAACTGGGTGCGGGAGGTGATGTAGAAGCCCCCGCTGTCCAGCTTGCGGATCTTGTAGTGCTTCACGTTGAGGCCCTTGGCGTTGTCAAAGTCGGACACGGAGAGGCAGTAGGCACCTACGGGCGGGGCCAGAGGGAGAGGGGCCGTGACCACCATGCCACCCCCTCAAAGCCCAGGCACTGAGCACTGCCCGGGGCCGGGTGCCGTGCCTGCCTGACGCTGGAGGGAAGAGAGGCGGGGGGGTGAGCCCCTAGCACAGAGCTCACTGAGCTCTGGAGTAGCCACAGAGGCCGGGACAAGCAAGGGACACCTGAGCAGAAGAGGCCCACCCCGAACCGTAGCCCTGGCAAGACATCAGTCCTGGGCATGCACCCTAGCTGGGTGACCTTGACAATGGCTCACCCCTCTGGACCTCACCTTCCTCCTCTACTCAGGGTTACTGGGAAGATCCAGCGAGGCCACATAAGGAGGCCTGGCACACAGTAGGCACTCAGTACGTGTTTGCCAGGAGCCCGGGCTGCCCACATGGCTGTGTGTCCCTGGCCTGGTGCCACACTCCAGTCTGCACATAGGGCTTTGTCTGCAGCCCTTGCTGCTTCCTGAACACCACTCTTGGCTGGCACGGGGGCAGGTGCGCACCCTGACTCTGGGCAAGTGACACTGGCCAAGGCGGCAGCAGCCCTGGGCGGGAGACCTTGGGTTGGGTGTGGTGGCCACAGCTGGTGGCCCCTCCATCCCCTCCTAGAAAACAGCTTCCTCCGCCTGCAGACCTGGCCAGGAGCCCCTAACCGAGCCAGGGGATGCTGGAGGTGGCCTCGAGGAATGAGGCTGAGCCCCAGAGGTGGGACTCAGGAGCAGCCAGTCCCCATGGCCCACAGGCCTCCCCTGGACAGTCCTCAGGTAGAGACCAGAGTCCCAGCTACAGAAGAAAAAGTCAGGCCCAGAGAGGAAAAATGAGCAGCCTCCGGCCACCCCTGCCTCAGGCACAGAGCTGGGACCCCAACCACACCTGAGGGTCCAGAGACAGCTGGGGGCAGCTGTGGCTTCTGCACGTGGCCCAGGCTGTGCGCACACAGAAGCCTCAGGCCTGAAGCTAAAGCCAGCCCTGGCCACACGGGCAGGACCCAGAACGCCCTGCCAGCGGCCACGTGCTCACATTGGCCCGTGCTCCCCAGGGCCCAGGCACAGGACAAACCACCACAGCTCACTCCCAGGAAGAGAAACTCAGTCCTGCCCCTCTCCTGCCTAGAGGGGCGCACAGCGCCACCAACCACTGATCCTAACCACACAGGCTCGCACCAGGACCTGATGCTCCGCTTTCCCGCCCCCCGCTGAGCCCCAGGCCCACAGGAAGCAGCCCAGCTAGGTTGCCATGGTGACAGGGCTCCTGCAACCCACTTTCCGAGGGACTGGAGAGAAGGGGGGCGAAGGGAGGCGAAGGGGGGCGATCTTCACTCTCTAGTGGGGGAGGGCTGGAGGGGGGAGGGGCCAGGGCCGTGGGGGAGGGCGCAGCCCCAGGGGCCTGGAGGGGAGAAGAGGGGCACTGCAGGGGCACCTAGGCTGGGAAGGAGTGTGACACGACCTCCTAACACTCCACCCCCTCCTCATCTGAGAAACAGAGGCCAGAGAGGCCGAGCCTCATCTCACTAACCCCCAGACGAGACTCAGTATTCCTCCCGTACACTTCCCTGACCTGCACCCTGCGTCGTACCCAGCTCCTATTCGTTTGGCAGCACTGGCCCAAACGACCTGCAGGAGCTCGGTGCCCGCCGCCCAGGGGAGGCCGCCTACCTTTCGTGGTCTCGCTCTCTCGCACCAGGAAGGTCCCCCTTGGGTTCTCCGTGTTAAGCAGCAGCCGCTCCGACTCCCGCCTGGTGATCTTGCCAAAATACCATCTGGGTGGGAGGGACGGGGGCGGTGTTGAGGACCCAGACTTCTGCCACCCACGGGGCCCCTCCTAGACGTAGCTGGGCCACGTGGAATGAGGCTGAGCCCAGAGGTGGGATCAGGAGCAGGCCAGCTGCAGAGGCCGGCAGGGCAGAGGCCATACTCACTCCTCAGCCTGGATGGAGTCGGAAGGCGCCACGTAGTTGCTGGGGATGTAGCCGGTCTGTCCCGTGCTGAGCGAGTGGGCCAGCCACCAGTCTCCCTCTCTGAGCAAGGGGAGGAGGGAGCAAAGAAGAAGGGGCCATCATCAGGTGAGCCCAGGGGCCTGCCCTAACCAGGTGCCGCCGCAGCAGGAGGCACCAGGAGGCGGGGCCCACCCCGCGTGCCCAAGCGCACCAGCTGGAGCTGGCCGGGCTCCCGGCCTCCACTGCCAAAGCTGGCTCAGGGAGCTTCGTCCAAGCCGGACAGGACGGAGCTCAGCCAGCCTTCGGCCCAGGCCAGGCAGGTCCTGGGGCAGGAGGGGAGCAGTTCCTTTCAGTACCCAGCCACCTCCAGCGCCAAGGGCTGCGGGGAGGGCGCACCCTGACTCTGGGCAGGTGACACTGTTACGGAGAGAAGACCTTCAGAGATCCCCAGCCCTACGACTCAGAAGCCCAATCCTGGAAGCTGGTGAGCCCTGCATAGAGGCAATGGGTGGCCCTTCTGGGGCCTGGGCACAATCTAGGCTACGGCCCCGCAAGCTAGAGCAAGGCTTGCCTCTGCTGCCATCCCAGGCCACAGCTCAGGGTCCTCCTGGGAACCGCAGGCCTCCTCCTGCAGCTCATCCACACACAGGGGGAAACGGAGGCCAGAGGGGTGGGGACTTGCCGTAGTCACAGAGAGTCAGGTGGGAGGACAAGGTGGCCCATGAGAAGGAGGGGAGGACGGGAGAGGGACAGGCAGGAAGAGTGCCCGGCGAGGTGGGGCCGGGCAGGGCAGGGGCGCGAGTACCTTTGCAGCCATCTGAATGTGAACCAGGTCTGGCTGGAGCGGGGTCCAGAGACAGAGGAGGGAGGAACAAGCGGGAGCCCAACGGGAGAGAAGAGGCAGAGACGGGGGTGGTGAGAGGCAGAGAGGCAGAGAGCGGGCAGCAGGAGAGCCAGCGGTGCTGGGCACAGGGACAGGGCAGCCACAGAGGCCTCACGTCCAAAGCAACCAACGGGGACAGGGAGCGGGTCCACGGGAGTGAGGAAAGGCCAGTGGGCAGGACAGCCTGGGAGCGGGCCACCCGACCAGCCCGCGGAGCAGGTGGGAAGAGGAGGCCAGAGCAAAGGCCTCGCCCGACACCGGATGAGGGGCTCCTGGGGGCTGCAGGGGCTGGACAGCTCCTCGGGCCCCCCTCCAGGGCGGCCCTGGGCCTCACGACACATGGCCCTGGCCTGGGCCTACAGAAAGGGCCTTGCCTGCCGCCACACGGTGGCCACCTGAGCCAGCCGGAGCCCTGGTCCCTCCCGCGCCCGGCCATAGTCTTCAGCTGAGGCCAGGGGAAAGCAGGGAGCTCCCCAGGCCGCAGAGGACAGGTGAGCACCCGCAGCCCGGGCTCACTGGGTGGGCTGAGGCTGGGCGAGAGTGTGCGGGGTCCCTTCTGCATGGAGAGAGACGGGGTGTGGCTGGGCTTGTGGCCCCGAGTCTGCCACGTGACTGTGCCCTCGGCTCAAGGCCACCTCGGGGAAGAGGCCATTGGGCCCCGCCACCCCGTGCACCCATCTGCGGGCACCTGCACTCTTCTTTCCCCGCTGGACCCTCAAAGCCACCCTCGAGGAAGGAAGGCAAGGCCCCAACCCCCAGCTGAGGAAACCAGGGCTCAGAGACACCTGCCTGGGAGAGAACAGACCAGCACTTTCTTTGTAAAGTTGGGGAAACTGAGGCACAGAGAGGGGCAAGGACTTGTTGTTCAAAGCTACAAAAACTCAGGTCACGGGGAAGAGTCGAGCTCCTCCAGTCCAAAGTCTCTCCAGTGGGGAGAACGAGCACAGAGAGGGCAATGACATACCCAAGCCACACAGCAAATCAATGGCAGAACAAAGGTGAAAACAAGGGCCCCGGAGTGCCCACGGCCAGAGCAGCAGGCCCCTCAGCCTCGCGGGGCCTCGGAGAAGCCAGCGGAAGGCACAGGAGGCGGCTGCAGGATGGGGCCAGGGGACGGGACGTACCAGACTGGGCCAACACCCAAGGCCTAGGTCTGAGGCTACAAAACGAGGCCAGAGACCCAATCCCGGGATCCCCGGGTGCCCAGCCGAGGGGAAGGCTGGCGGGAAGCAGTGCCAGTCAAGCAGGCCCCAGAAGCGGTGGGGTCCACCTGCCTGCAGCAAGAAGAGCCCTGGCTCCTAGCCATGACCCACACAGGAACTTGGGGTTCACAGCAGGTTTGGGGGCTTCTTCGTGAGGCGCAGGGACAGACAGCACGACAGTTTTGCTGCGGGCCTCAAGGGCCTCGGCTGGCCCTGCCCCCGGTGGTGTCTGAGAAGGTCAGCTCCAGTCGGCGGCCCTGGGCACTGGCGGGTGACCACGGCCCTGCGCTTCACGTCCCGGGTCTCCACTTCCTCCTCTGGAGGCTGGGAAAGTCCTGCCGCCCTCTGAGGAGGTCACAGGGCCTCAGCCAGAGCAGGTGCTGACTAGCTCTCTGGGCGCGGGGCCTCCCTGCGGGGCCTCCCTGCTCTCAGAAGCATCTAAACCCCAAAGCGGCAGCCCAGGTGTGGGGAGCGTGCCCGCCGCCCAGCTACCAGAGGGCAGAAGCAGGAGGATCACAAACGAAGGCCAGCCAGGGCCACCGTCTCAAAGTAAAAAAGGGCGAGGGGTAGAGCGCCACTGGGTTTGATCCCCAGTACCACAAAAAACATTAAATTAAATTTAAAAAATGGTCCCAGTCTCCAACAAGGATTTGCTGTGTGACCTTGGGCAAGTAGCATACACTCTCTGGGTCTTAGTTCTCTCACCTGTGAAGAGGAGATGATATACGCAGAACCTCCCTTGCATCAAGCTGGGCTCAGGATACGCTGAGATAATGACCACCCGAGCCTCAGTTGGCCCACCTGACAAATGGGGGCATCCATTCTTATCTTCCCAAGTCAAGGGTCTGGGGGTTCAAACCTGCCCAGGTGGCCATGAGCTAGCTCTGCCAAGGAGCCCATTTCCCAGATGGATCCAGCCTGGTGGAGGCAACCCAGCCTGGCATCAGGAGTACCTGCAGCACTGATGGGTCAGGCTGAGGCCTTGTGCTGCAGTCAGTGCCTTCCCGGGGTCTGGTCCTCATCAGGGAGCAGGAAGCCCCCTTCCACACCGCCAGAGGAGAAAGTGTTGGACCAGGGGTCCCTGCACTGCAACTTCACACCCCAACCGTTGCTCACTAGCTGTGTGACCTTAGCCAACTGACCTCACCTCTCTGAGCCTCAGGTCTTTGTTGGACACTAATCCTTGTGTCTAGCCAAGCTGGACTACAGATCCAGTCTGTGGCTCTGGAAAATGGAACATGAGGTCAGTGTGACCAGTGACGCTAACTTGCTTGGGCTGTTGGGACTTGTCTGCAGACAGGTTGGGCAGCTAAGCAAGGCCCAGCCTGAGAGGGACAGAGCCAGGGCTGAGCCAGCCAGAGCCCGGGCAGGGGGCAGCAGGACAGTGAAATCTCCAAGCCCTGGGGCCTGGGGCCTGGGGCCTGGTCTGGGGGTGGGAAGGGGAAGGCCCGGACGGGCCCCTCTGGAGGATGCGGGCTCTGAGTCCGGAGGCGCCTTCCCCAGGTGTCTGGGCCAGGAGGAGAGGCCAGCTGGAGGGCGGGCACTGGGGTGGGGCCAGGGAAGCGCTCAGCTGTCCTAGGGAAGTCAGGCCTCAGGCCGTGGGCCTCCTGGCACCCAGGGCCGCACAGCACCCAGCACACAGACCCAGGCCATTTGGCACCAAGACCCGTGCCCAGCTGTCTCGGTGAGCACCCAGGTCAGTCCCCTCTCCCCCCAGACACCAGCCCAGCCCCCACACCCCCCACAGGGCTCCCGCCAAACTCAGCCGCCAGCCTAGATCCCAGGGCCCCTGAGCCACAGCGGTGAGCGGGCGGGCGGTCCCTGGGGGAGGTATGAGATCCCAGAATTTGGGCGGCCCATCTTCCACTGGCCCCAAGCCCCTGTCTCTCTCCTCTTCCTCTAACGCCGCCCACTGCACCCCTCCACTTCTAGGCTGGGGCTGGGTAGAAAGGAGGAGCAGGCCCCGACAAGCAGCCCCGCCACAGCACCCAGTCCTCCAGGACGCCCAGGGCCTTCCCACGGAGGACCCTTCGCCACTTCCGGCCTCTAGGCGGCCCCAGGCCCAGCGGAGCACCCCCAGCCCACCCTGGAAGGCAGGAGGAAGAGAGGGCAAGGGCCAGTCATGGGAAGAGTGGGGACTGCCCTGTGGCCCTGATCAAAGAGGCAGACTCAAGGTCCCGGCCTATCTGCCTGCACACCTGGGTTCCAGCTGTGACCCCCTGAAACGCCTGGCGGGGACCCTGTCTGGGCATCCTGTCCCCAGGGCTGCTGGGCTCTGTGTGCTGCACTGGGACCCTCCTACAAGGACCCTGAGCTGGAGAGCCGGCCTCTCAGCCCAGCTCTGCCTCTACCAGCTGTGTGACCTTGGGCAAGTCATTTCACCTCTCTGGCCTCAGTTTTCTCATCTGAAAGATGGAGCAAACAGGAGTTCCCACCTCTCAGGGCTGCAGTGCTACATAAATAAAATATGTAGCACCTTAGGTCGCTCTGCGAGTGGCTCGGCTCGCACAGAGCGCAGCGTAAGCGTTAACCCTGATGGTGCACCCTGCCCCGGCACTCTGGGCACCCTGGAGGACTTCTGGGAGGAAGCAGATTCAAACAACTGGTGACAACCAGAGAATGGAACCACACTGGGACCTGGGCTGGGGCAGAGCGCAGTGGCTGCAGGGCCTGGGCAGGGTCCGGGGCTCAGTTTCCAGAACCACCAAGACCAAAACCAAAACCAGAAAAGGACTTGGACTCTGAGGTACCAGGGCAGGGAGGAGAGAAGGAAACCCCCCACCAGGACAGAGACCTGGAGAGGGAGAGTGTCACAAGGTCCTCGCCTGGCCTGTGACTTGGTAGCCATGTGGCCCTGGGTAAGGGCCTTCACAACCCTGAGCCTCAGTTTCCTCATCTGCAAAATGGACACCCCCTCCCCATCACTACTGTCCTGGCAGGGCCAGAGAAAGGATCAGCGGGAGGGGATGGGGTGGGGACAACTGACACGGCACCTCTGTGTCCTTCTGCCTCACAGAGAAGCCAGCCCTGTGCGGGACCTTGCGGGGAGGACAGGAGTCTGCCAGGCAGGGATGCGGAGGGTGTTCCAGGTGCAGGGAACGGCATGCACAGGGAGACATGCTTGGGGACGGTGGCAATGTCCCACCTCCTTCGCCAGGCCTTTGAGGACACTGGGAGGTGGATTCTCCTCTACCCTCCAGAACCCCCCCACGGTCCACGGCCCCACAGGCAGCAGCCCTTCCAGCCCTGCACCTCCCTGAGGGCTGCCAACCCCAGCTCCACCTGCACATGACTTCACTGTCCCTCCCAGTCCCTGTGGTCATCACCAGAGGCACACTGCAGGGTCAGGACCTGACCCCAACCCACCCCCTGCCTGCCCCTGGCCAGGGCTGAGGCCACAGAGCCAGCTTGCAGCCACTCTGGCTCCAAAAAAAGGATGGACAGGCCTCTCCCCTCCGGCTGCCAGGGCCCAGCGCTGGGCCCTGCATGCAGCCAGCACTCAATGGAGGCTGACAGACCAGAGGGACGGGGAGTTGACAGGAAGGGGGCAGATGCAGTGGCCATGGAGCACCCGGGTCTCGGTCTGGAACCTGGTCAAGCAGGGCTGGGTACAGGAAAGCTGAGGAGCCCAGGTGGTGGAGACAGCCAAGGGCCAGGGACCACAAGCAGGGACACTGGGTGGCGGAAGCACATGCAGACAGCAGCCCCCAGCCCAGGCTGAGCGCCCCCACCCGGCCCAGGGAGTGGGTACACACCTGACATCCACCTTCCTCCTGAGGCCAGCGAGAGAGAAGCGAGAGAAGAGGCTGAGAGGGCTGCGAGGAGCAGGCAGGGGACCCAGGGCCTGCTGTGGCCCACAGGGGCTGCCAGCTCGGGCACAGCCTGCTTGGGGCCGCGCCACCTCTGCCCGCAGCTCCTGCACAGGCAGGAGCCCACCTCCCCCATGAGGCCCCCAGGGGCCCAGCAGGCAGGGGTGGGGGCACTCACGTGTTGTTGACAATCTGGAGCCGCTCCCCTTTCTTGAAGGACAGGTCGGTCTCTGTCCGTGACTCATAGTCATAGAGGGCCACAAAGGTGGTCACTCCGCCTGCCAAGACGGGGGCAGATGTCAGACCAGCGGGGTCAGGAGTGAGGCCTGTCCTCCCTCATCTCAGCACGCAATCCAGGGACGCATGCCGTGGCACTTGTCCCCAGCCTGGGACACCTGTGAGGCCCATGGGGCGCTTACGCCCTCCAGCCTCTGTCCCTGCTGGGCTTCAGGGGACGCTGGGTGTGACTTGTCCATGTGGGGTCTGTCTCACCCCATCCCACTAGAAGCTTCTGAGAACAGACATCTTTGTTCTGGCCCCAGCCCAGGGCTCACAGTAGGTGCTCACAAAATAACTGCGGCTGGAGGAGCCAGGGAATTAAGGGCCTGCACCCCGAGGGGCCGCTGTCCCTCTGGGGATCTGGAGAGAGCCTGGCTGCAGGTGACCGTCCACTCAGAGGCCCCGGGTCCGCCATGTTAAATGACAACCCCCTTTTCCATGCACCCTCCAGCTCCCAGCAGCTTCCCCTCCTAAGGCGCTCACAGTCCCCTCCTGTCCTTTGTCTCCTGGGGCCATTGAGGCAAAGGTCCAGGCTCCGCAACTATGTTTTGAGCAAATGAATGGCTGTCTGTGGGTCCGTTTGTCTCTCGTGGGTGTGTGTCTGCGTCTAGGCGGTCCATGCTCTCCTCGCGTCTGCGCGCGGGCACCCGTGGACCTGGACACCCGTGAACTTGGACACCCGTGGACCTGGACACCCCTGATCACTGTGTCCCAGGTAACCGCGACCAGGGCCTCGGGTTATCTGTGCGCGAACTGCGCGGGGAGTGCGTGTCCCTGCGTGCCGCCCCATGGGCACTGTGCCTGTGAGTGTCCCTGGAGGCTGTGTCCGCGCCCTGCGTGGCCGGCCTGGGAGCCTGGGGACCAGCAGGCGGTGTCTCCCCGCTCTCCGGCCGCTGACTGCCGGACCCCGCGGCGCCGGCAGAGGGCGCAGGGGCGCACTCGAGGCCGCTCGAGCCGCCCCGGCCGCCGCCAAGCGCGGGCCGCGAGGTGGCAGCCTCGGCCCCGGGCCCGGTGTGGCCCCTGCCTCTGGGCCCAGCGTCCCCCTCCAGACCCCGCTACACTGAGCACGTGACTCACCCCACCGAGCTCACGGCTCACAAAGCCGTCCCCACCCGCAGCGCCCGGGACACTCCCTGCGGGGCCCAGGACGAGGACACGGGGGCCCTTCCCCTCCCGCGCGGAGGGGTCGGGCACGGACACTGACCGGCCAGGGGCCCCGCCCTCTGCGGGGAGGTGACGGTGTCCGACGAGTTGAAGCCCCCGAAGAGCTTGGGCTCGGCGGCCGCGGGGGCGAAGGCGGCGCCCGGGCCGCGGAGGCCGTCGGCGGAGGCCGGCTTGCTGGGCGTCTGCGAGGCCGGGAAGGCGCCGCCCGCCGCGTGGGTGCTCTCGGCCGGCTCCAGGCTGCGGCGCCGCTGGCTGGCGTCCTTCGGCTTGCTCTTGTTGCTACCCATGGTCCTGGCTGGGACGACAGGGCCGCGGGGTGGAGGGGCGGCCGGGCACAGGCAGGCCACCCACACACGCCCCACGATGGGGAACCGAGGCCCCAAAGGGGACTAGCCTCTTGGGTGAGTTGGCCTCAGCCCCAATCTCTTCACTGAGGATACCCCTAAAGGGCTCCTCTGGAACAGGGTGAGGCTTGGGAGAAACTCTTCATGACCAGAAGCCCTGACCTCCGAGTCGGTGTTCCAGTCCTTCTATCCGAACCATGTCTATGTCCCCAGCTCCTGGCACACAGGAGGGACTCACTTCATGTTGTTGAGCAATTACATGACAGGTTGACACTGGGAGGCTGGGGAAGGTGCTAAAAGGAGGCAGCAAAGCAGGGGAAGTTTGGGGGGAGAGATGACTGGAAGCCCAGCCACGGAGCCTGTGCATGTGCTGTTCTAAGAATGCTTTGTCCTGGGGCCGAGGCTCAGTGCTAGAGCACTTCACTAGCATGTGTGAGGCGCTGGTTCCAGTCTCAGCACCACATAGTAACAGAAAAAATAAAGGTCCAGGGACAGTTAAAAAGTATTTTTAAAAGAAAAAAAAAAAAGAATGCCCCTTCAGTTCTCAGCTCAAGTCACTTCCTTAGGCAGGGTTCCCCCCGTTTTTTCACTGAATTAAGTAAGCCTCCCTGTTGTGCCTCTCCTGATCACCTGTGTCCCCCTTTTATTGAAATTCCTGTGCTTTTGTCCTATTCACTGCTGTGCTCCAGGGATGGTTCAAGAGGGACTGGGGCAGTGAATCTGGGAAGGCCGTCAGGAAGCTCGGGGCCAACGCCCCCCAGACCGGAGCCCGCCTCCCTCCCCACCCAGCATGGCACCCCGCCTGCCCGGGGCGCCCCCTCACCTGGTGGAAGGCAAGGCCGCCCCAGAGGGCCTGGGAAGCAGCTGGGCTCTGGGCACACACACCAGGCGTGGAGTCGGCAGTCTCGCTGCGGAGTCCCTGCTCTGCCCTTCCAGGCTGAGTGTCCTAAGCCAGGCGCTCCCCGTCTCTGGGCCTCAGTGTCCTCATCTGCAAGGGAGGGGCAGCAGACTTCTCAGGGCTGCCAGGTGGGGATGGAGAGGCACGGCAACAGGGTCACCCTGGGCCCTGACTCAGGCAGGTGGGCGCTGCAGCCTGACTCTGGGTGCAGACCTCGCCTCTGTCCCTGGCCAGCCGCGTGACGGGGCACCTTAACGCCCCGCCCCGTGCCACTTCTCCATCCACCCCTAACAAGGTGAAGTGACCGGCCAGGGCAGTGTCCCTGGTGCCCGCACATCAACTACAACACGGTGATGGCCCTGGAGTCAGTGTGGAGTCTTCGCTGAGAACCCACGAATGTGGAAAAGTCCCCTCGGCGGGCTGGGCCTCGGGCAAGCTGCCTGCCCACCGGGGAGGACCAGCTGGGATCCCCTCCAGGCCACAGGCAGGGGACCGTCCCGCTGACAGGAGGCCCTGGGGAGACCGATTCAACTGCCAAGGGATCACCAGGCCTCCCAAGGGACAGGCCACCAACCTGGGGACAGGCAAGGCCAGTTCCTATGGCAACACATTCCATCAGGGTCACGGTGCCCATCAGCCCTCATGACGCTGGTGCCCAAGGACCTGCTGACTGGTCCCCCGCAGCCCCCTGACACAGGGCCATCCCACCCACTCCCACCCACTCCCACCCTCTGGCCCCCTGGCCAGGGCGTGGTGGGCAGGGCCTCTTTGCACAGACCTCAACACATGGTGACTACTGTCACTCAGAGTGGTCTTGGGGGACTGCAGGAAGACAAAGAAAAAATAAACCCACAGCCCGCCCCCAGAAGAGGACAGCGGGGTCCTGAGGAGGGTGTGCTTCCGGCCTCTCCAACATGACCATGACAACCACAGGCCACCTGAGTGTCCTTGACTCAGCTCCCTGCAGAGAGGGGCAGCCAGGCCCCTGCAACCGGAGGGCCCGGCACCCGAGAGGCTCTGGAAGTGTCTGCAGGACAGACACATCTGCTCCCCGCGTCCTCCTCGCCAGGGCCACTTATGGGGACTGAGGATACTCCAGGACAGCCAAACGCCCCGAACGCCACCTGGCACTGGACCCTGTGTTGGGCACTCGGTGAACCCTGGCTCCTGTCCTGTCTCTAGGAGGTGGACATTGGCAGTGACCCGGGCTACTGATGACGAGGCTGAGGCACAGGAGGTTGGGAACTGGCCTAAGGGGCACAAGTGAGCAGAAGGGTGGACAGGGCCGTACTGGGCGGCCGGAGTCGGGCTGTCCAGGGTCCCCCTGCCCGGCTCTGTGGAGCACCAGGTGCCCTGGGGACTGGAGGGAGGCTGCGGTCCAGCCAGCTCCTGGAGAGTCCGAGGTTGTGGCCAGCGGCAAGGCAGATGTTTGAAGAAGGACCGGCCCCCTTAGGGCGGGGACCCAGGTCACACAGGCACGCTGTGTGACCTTGGAAGGGACCCCCCCAGTCAGCACTCTGCTTCCCCAGGCCTGAGCTGCCCCCAGGTGCAGTCACCGCGCACTGCTCGGTGAGAAGTCCCCAGGCCACCTCGCGCTCCTTGAGGTGGAGGCAGATCCTTGGGGCCAAGGGGAGCTGCGGTGGGGGTGCTGGGCCCAGAGGAAGGTGGCCCCTTCCTGTGAGAGCTCCTGACCGCAGGCTCCGTTCCGCCCCAGCAGAGGACAGTGGCCTGCGCACAGGGCTGGGCACGGCTCCCTGCAGCCACCACTCCGCCCGGCCGATCGCCACACCTAACGGTCCTGAGTGGACCTGGCCTCTCCCTCAGCCCTGTCCCCCTCCAGGTCACTGGCTGTGGCTGGCCCGCAGAGCACCTGCCGAGGGCCAGGTCTGTGCGCTCTGCCCTGTGGCCTTCCCTGCCGGCCCCATTCCCTAGACAGGGCCCTGCCACCCACAGCCACCTGCCATCCCAGGCCCCTCCAGCCACCTCCTGCCCCAGGTTGGAGCCCTGCCTCATGCTCTCCGTGGAAACCCAAAGAACATGTCTGGCAGAGGGGCCCCGGCTATACAAGCACCGGCCTGGCCCTCCAGGGGCCACCTGTGTGGGCTCAGGAGGCACAGAGCGCCGTGCGCTGAGGAGACACCAGGAGAGGAAAAGAGGAAGCCGGCCTCGGTTTCCTCATCTGGAGAATGGGGACGATGGTGCCCCACATCACAGGCTGGAAGGAGGCTGAGGAGAAGCAGCCTGCGACGGTGGCTGTGGCACCTGGTGCTCAGCAAACGGGAGCTGCCACTATCGCTGGAAATGCAACTGGTGTGCGCCCGGCGGGGCTGGAGGGTTAGAGAACGTTCTGGAAGGATTCCAAACACTTCTCGATGGTTCATCCAAGAAGCAGAGGTTAGGGAAAAGGAACCGTTTGCAACTCACATCCTGTATCAGCTGACCTTTGGAAATTACTTTGTCATTTTTTTCTTTAATGTGACTTTTTAAAAAAACATTCTTGAGTGTCCCGCCTTCCTTCTCCGTGGGCAAGGCCCAAAGCGGTCGCCCAGGTCCACCCAGACCGCAGCCGGTGCTGCCCTCGGCTGCCTGCCCTGTGACTGCCAGCCAAGGGACCAACCAGGGGACACACACGCACTCCCACCTCCTGGCAGACACGACCCCGCTGTCCCTCCTCGGGCGCTCCTGGGCTCCAGTCCCGGTCGCACCACCGACTAGCCCTGGGCAAGCCACGGTGCCCCTCACCCTGACACCTCACCCCTCGGGTGTCAGGTTTATGATCCCCTTTAAAATGTGGCACACAGAGGCGGCCTCTGACACTCCTGAGGTGCGTCAAGAATGCCAGGTGAGAAGCCAGCTTGCCACTCCCCAGGCGGCGGCCTGGGGGGCTCTGGCTGACCCCTCTACGGTGGGACAGGACTGATGGTTCCAACTTAACTGGGCCTGTGGCAGGAAGTCACAATGTGACATTAAAAAGTAGCCGGTACCCAGGAAGTGCCCGATAAATGACAGCTACTGCTGTCTCAGTAAGAAAGGACCTACCCAGCCTTCGTCCTCTCTCCTCATGGCTCACAATCAGGCCAAGGGCTCCCGCCGTCCTACTATGTGTCAAGCCAGGCTGCCGCCCTTGAGGACTTGTCTGGGGGCTGATTAACAGGGAAGGCCACAGAAGCCACCTCACATGGAGCCCAGAGAAGGGGAGCCTGCGGCTCTGGGTGAGTGTGTGCCCAGCCTCATCCCCAGGGGGCAGACATTTGGAGGTCAGGCCTTTGGGAGGTAATTAGGTCATCAGTGGATCAGTGTCCTCAGAGGAACTAGAGGAGACCAGAGCCGCTTGCTCTCCGCCATTAGAGTTCACGACAAGAAGACAACCATTTGCACACCAGGAAGAGGCCCTTGTCAGACACTGACTCCGCCAGTACCCTGACCTTGGACTTTCTAGCCTTCAGAACTGTGAGAAATGAATGTCTGGGGTTTTGTGTGGGTATTGTTCTGTTGTTGTTGTTATATGTATCTTTTGATTAATTCATTTTCAAACTGACATATAAAAATTATGCATACTTATGGGGTACCATATGATGTCTCCACGCATGCACATATCATATGATGTTCACTTTAGATTAGACATATCTAGATCCTCAGTTTTCATTTCTTTATGGTGAAAACATCCAAAATCCTCTTCTCTAAATTTTTAAAAATATAAAATTGTCATTATTACCTATAGACACTGTCCTGTGCAGAACACCAAAACTTCTCATGTTTAACTGTGACTTAGTATCCATTGATCAAACTAAACGTTCTTTGTCTAAGCCACACAGCTTATGATATTTGGCTACAGCAGCAAGGACAGATGACTGTCCCTTCCCACTAGTTAACTTCACTCTAAGATACTTGCCAATGCAATCAAGTCAGAAAAAGAAATAGAAGAAATAAAATGGAATTAGAAAAGAGAAGAGGATCATCTTCAGATGGTATGAATGTAGATCTGAGAGATATGAGAGAATTACTGGAAAACTATAGCTCAGTGGTAGAGGGCTTGCCTTGCACACATGAGGCCCTGGGTTCGATCCCCAGCACCACATAAAAATAAACAAATAAAAACAAAGATATTTATTTTAACTAAAAAAATTTTTTTGAAAAGACAGTAGGGAATTAAATTGATATCCAAAGATCAATAACCAATTCCAAGAGCAATCAAAAACTATAATGAAGCCATGCTTTGCAATCCCAGCGACTTGGGAGGCTGAGATAGGCGGATCACAAATTTGAGGTTAGCCTCAGCAACCTTGTGAGGCCCTAAGCAACTGAGTATGACTTGTCTCAAAATAGAAATAAATAAATAAGCAGCTGGGGATATGGCTCAGTGGTTAAGCACCTCTCGGTTCAATCCCCAAAAACAAAACAAAAAAAGAACGAACCATTTGACCCAGAATATCCACAGTGCCAATTCATAAACAGAAGTATATGGATAAGACTAGCCAGAAAAATCTTTAATAAAAGAGTAAAGAGTGGGCTGGGCTGTGGCTCAGGGGTAGAGTGCTCACCTGGTGTGTGTGAGGCACTGGGTTTGATCCTCAGCACAACATAAAAATAAATAAATAAAGGTATGTGTCCACCTACAACCCAAAAAAATATTTAAAAAAGAAAAAAGAAAAAAAGAAAAGTAAAGAGGGAAAAACCAACCTGACTGTAAAACTTACTCTAAATGCACGGTAATTAAACGTCTGTGATATCAGTGGATAAAGAGGGTGGAATAGAGGGTATGAAAATTATCTTCAAACATACAGGAATTTAATCTATAATGAGAGTGGCATTTCATACCAATGAGGAAAAGGTGAATTATTTATAAAATGGAGTTGGGAACAACAATCTGTCATGAGAAAACACAACTGGACCTCAATTTTACTCCATATGCCAATAAAATTCAAAATCAATCAGATTTAAACCACAACTAAATTGAAACCATAAAGCTCTTAAAGGGGATGAAAGAATAAATCTTCTAATCTATGTTTAGCATTCCTAAACATAATACAAAACTTAGAAATCACTTTTTAAATTATAAAGCAGTCTCCTTAAGAATCTAAACTGGCCAG